CACGAGATTTTATGTCTTTACATTTTTTAGTTCTGTGTGATACCCGCATTAGCTTAAATTAATAATGCGATATGTACATAATTTGTTTAAATATTTATACTGACAAGCTTTTGACTTGCTGTCCAAAAAAGTCATGATTAATGCACGAGGCTTAAATTACTTTCAGCAAATATTATAAAATGTCAATCTGCTATATGAAAAAACCATGACATAAAGCAAAAGTATTTTAATAAACTTGTGTCACTTAATTATAAATTATTCGCTAACTTAACATAAGTAAATCTAAATATTTATTTTCATTTTCTCATCTTATAACAAACAACTTTTGCCATTTAGTTGCATAATTGAATTAACAAAGAGTTTACTTGGGAAGGAATAAACTATCTTCCCGGTATTTCATTTAGAGTGCACGCGGTAAACTCTCGCAATAAACAAAAAGTTCTTCGCACACACACACACAAACACACATCCGCCCAATAAAACAACAAAAGCACCGAAATGCGCTTAGTATGCAACTTTTTGCACCAACGCCCCAAATAACATTAGCGAAAATCACTTAAATGGCTGTAATTTGTTTGGTGCACGGGGCGTATGCGTTACCTGTGGGCCCGCGGCAGCAGCTTATTGGAGCTCAACGAGCTGCTGCTGCACACAAACAAACTTAATGCAACAAATTTCTGCCATTTGGGCGTAAAACAAAACACATTTAAAATTTTTAAAGTGCAGCCAAAGCGGAACCGCCTAGCACCCCAGAGAATCCCCTCTACTCCATCCAAAAAAAAAAAAAAAAAACCAATTCGCCGAAAAACTCATCACTCAAGCGCAGTTCACGAAATAAGTGCAAGGCCCACTCCCAGGCAGCGGCAGCTGGATCTGGAACTGGAGCTGGAGCAACAGCAGATCCCATCAAACAATACACCAGTTTTTTAACACACACACACATCTACACATGTAGTATAAACAATCCTCGTTGCGGCGCTGGGCCAACAGCCAGCAAAATGGTTTAAAACTCAATTAAAGTTTTAGCCGCAAAATAAATGCAAAAACGGCGGCGGCAGCGTCGACAACAGCTACAGAAACAATGATACTGCCCCAAAAAGGTGGCAAAAGCTGGCAAATACATATGAAAACAACGAACAATGTATGCTCTATCTTATATGAAATAATTGGATGCAAAGCAGCGCACTACATATAAAGGTTAACTGAACTAGCAAATAATTAAGACAGATCAAAATAATTGTGATGTAACTTATTTTAAGTTAGATAATAAAAGTATTCTATTTGTAGTTGCATTTAAATATCGATAAAAATTATTAAGCATTATTGAAAATGAGAGAGATTGATCGAAATACAAGTGTTGCAAAACTATCAACTGAGTTTTCACTTTTCCATCATCTTCCCTTTTCTTTGCCATTATCGATAGTCGTCTTTATCGATACTATCGATTACTCACAAGTGCTTATACGTAATTGAAAATCGTAAAGCAGGTAGCTAGCATTGGCAGAGGTGTTCACAAAATTTCTCATCTTTTGTTTTATGCGCCGAGAAAAGAAAAAAACACTCAAAAACACGCCCACAAGCAAATCACAGCCCTGCGATTGCCTCCTGAACCACAGGAGCCGCAGCAGTCGAGGCACTTTTTGATTGCTGTAATTCAAATGAAAATCGCACAATTGAATTGAATTTACCGAAAAACAGCCAAAACTTTGATGAGCCTCCAGTTTGTGTGCTTGTTTTGTTTGTGATTAGTTTACACGCGTTGGTATTGGAGTCTAGATTCCGTTGTTTTATGTGCCTTGAACCGTTTTCTAGTCCATGTTTTATATTTTTTGGCTCGCTTTTTGAAGTGCAGTTTGAAAAACAAATCGCTCGGAGCTTCGCCCGAGCTTAATGAAGTTTAACAACATTTAATGGTGCATTCTTTTTACACGCTTTTGCAAAAGTTTACGACTATTTTATTAGAGCGTAAAATCGCATTTGGCAAATAGTTAAAACAACAAATACTGTTCAGCACTCGACTCGCTTTTGGACTTGATTATTGCCTATAAGCTCAGGGGCTTTCAAAAATGTGTATTGCGCATTGAAGCAAGCATATCCATGGATATGCACTTATATATTTAAATATATATATTATAAAGTCAGCCTGTATATATTTCATTCGAACTATAAAAAGTACAAGACTAAGATAAAAAATTGTTGCTATCGAAACACATTTGATCTGCTGGAAACTTAATTCTTAAATGTCAAACTAACGCAATTTTAAAATATTAAAATATTGAGATAAATCAAAATAATAATATATATAAAATGTTAAAATAAATAAGCAAGATAAGCTAATATTTCTTTATGTATCTGACATATTCAAATATTTTTAAATAACAAATTTAATTGAAATGTCAACTTATGTGGTAAATAGTGGAAAAGTGCTTTAACATCATTTACTCACCTTTATAAGACCAAATAAACTTAACATTCCTATTATATCCTTTAAAAATGTTCGCCGTGATTTACGTTTTATGGCCAAAAATTTCGATAGTGCAGCAAAATCAACATAAATAAAATCGCCTGGCACCTAATTTGAATGCAGAAATTATAACAAAATGAAATTAAAGTATTTTATTTATGATAACTTCTCTGCACCATGTTAATGACTCATTACACATGCAACCCAAAACGAGGCGAACGTGGCAACAACAACAACAACAAAAACAACAACAACGACAACAGCAACAACAACGAAAACGGCAACAAACTTGTTCACAAATTTGTTACCAACATGAACGTGGCTTAAATGCGGCAAACGTAAAGTTGAATTATGCAATAAAAAATAATGCAATAATTGTGGAAAATTCTGAAAACTATGCAAATGGCACACACACACACACACACAATTCTCGTACGTTCCATATTCATGGAACATACAATTTTCAGCCAAACTCGGTGCGAAATGTGCAACAAAGCAAAGTTTTTGTTTTAGCCAAATGAACGGCAACAATTTTTAATTGTTTATTTTCCAAATTCATATTGCATGTCGCTTTGCATATTGCTATTTTATAGGTGTTTGTTATTTTATTATATATTCTTCTTTTTTTTGCGTATGTTAAAGTTCAACAAAAGTGACCATTTAAAATAATGAACATGGCTGCAGTTGAAAAATTATTAGCTTTATGTTTATATAATTTTCAAAATAAATATATTTAAAGAACTTGACTTGTTTAACTTTAATATTATGTGTTATTTAAGTTGCTTTCAGTTTAATATTTGTTTTAATGTCACATCAAAAGTTAGTTTGAAATGCAATCATAATTTAAATGTTTAACTATTTATGGAAGGTATTCAGTTTTTCATACCTTTAAGAAATTGATCGAAGCTTGTTAATTCACATTAAACATATTTGTAGACTTTATTTATAATAATTATAAAAATATGTGAGTTTCAATACAAGAGAAACACAATTGCACAGGGATTAAATAATGTAGTTATAGGTAGGTATATGTCAAATGAGAATAAGCCAATTGGATCAGTTAACAGATACATATATATGTATATGTGAACAGATCTAGTAACGATATTGAAAACTGGGATCCGAACCATAGACAATGCAAGCACATGGATAACCTGTAAAAGGCGTTCGTTGAAAAACACCCAAAATATAAATAATAAAACATGTAAAGAAAATAAAACATACAGAAAATATCAAAAACATTTAACAACATTAATTAAATATTTATTTTAAATGACACCAGAATAAATGCATACAGTTTAAGTTCACAATAGACAAACACAAGGCTAAATACAGAAAAAAAAACAAACAAAATTTTGCTTTTCCAAAAACGTAAATTCGTATAGAAATTCTTTTTGTTTGCAAATTTAAATTTAAATTTTATAAAATCGAAAAAGCTTAGTAATTGTTTAAATTTTACCTAGGTAAATTAATGAGTTTTTAATTATGCGTAATTGCCACCAAAGAGGGAAAAACGTGTCCAAACTACCTGGCCCATGTTGTTTATGGCAACTGTGTTTTATTTATTGTGTGGGCATAAAAAGAAATGTATTATTGAAAAAATATATTTGTATAAATTAAGTAAGAATCGAATTGAGAGGTTATTTTGAAGTAAGAAGTATAAGTAATATGTGTCAGAAGTATAATCGAAAGAGTTTAGCCAACATATAATACCAAAATGTACCAATATTATTACCTTGGCTATGGACTAACATCTGAAACGAGAGAAGATTTATAGTTTCTATTTTGTTTGTGTACAATATTCAAGCAATTGGGTAAAGCAATAAATTTGGTATTTTTTGGTATTTTAGTATGTCAAGGCCAAATAGAGAAAATCATAAATACACTTGAAAAGCAGCTGGCAAATATTGGCTTGGTATCAATTAGCTAAAGTACCTGTATCAGCAAATTCATTAAGTTACATTCACGGACATAGAACATGCTTAGTATGTACACATGTCGAGATAGTATTCATGAATTGAATATTATTCTTTGATTTTTGTTTAGTAATCGTAGCGCTCACATGCCAACACCCAATGTACAAAATTGCAACACTTGAACTTGCCTCGCGGTTTGCACTGCAAATGCTCCTTAATGTACTGGCAAGGACACTGAAATTGGCCGCAATGCCGGCCCGGCTCCAGCGGCGTCACATCGACCATGCCGCGCAGCGCCTCCATGCCCCAGCGGGAGCCGTAGCGCAGGAACAGCTGCAACCCGCGCTCCTAGGAAGTAGATTTAGATGAAAAGGCAGGTGAGACAGGTGGAGCAAACAGGCAAGAGATTAGACAACAGATGGATAAATTGTTCAATTTTATGAAAATTAAAGAGTGCATGTTAGACAGTGCGTATGTGTAATACGTATGAGTATACAAAAATGTGCAGCATACTTTTTGGCTGAAAGAAAATCAAAATATAAAATGTAAATGGCAAATCTATATATTATAATAAGTACATGAAACTGCGCCTACTAAATTTGAATTAAAAATATTTTAGCTTCGTTTTTAACAGCTTTTAATTTGAAGAATTCACAATGGGCGCACAAAAATTATAGAGGAAATAAAATAAAAACATTAAATTACAATCCGATTGTAACTGGAGCAAACGCGGAAAGGAAGAATTTCGATTTGTCGATTTTATCGTTATCGGCCACGCCTACAGCCAGCAGCCCATGCAATTGATGCCGCAGCATTGGCGATGTTGCAGACTGATTTTGATTTTGTTACGCAGGAGCTCCTCCTCATACTGGCACGGGCAAATTGACGATTGCAGATGTCGTGGTGTCTCATGGACGCCCGCCTCCTGTACGGTCCAATCGAGGCGGCGGCGCAGAAAGTCCTTGCCCCACCGCTGCAGATAGCTGAGAAACAGCTCCTGGGCAAAGGCCTAAAGAGAGTTGTGAGCATTTTTGTGAGAGTGTCGGTGTGCGTGAGAGACAAAAGAGAGAATGCGTGAGCATGATGCATGATCAATGTACAGAGAAAGAGAGCGAGAGAGAGAGAGAGAGCGAACGAGAGACAAAAGAGAGTGGGAGAGACCAAGAAGCAAGTGTCAGTGTCTAGCGATGAGCATGAGCGAATTACAACTAGAAAGCTCTATGTGCGCGTGTATTGGTGAGCTTCTGAAAGCTTTGTAGCTCACGCAGCACGCGAGCTGAGCAGAGCTCTCTACATGAGCCGTGTTGGTGTAAAAGCCCAAGCAGCTCCAAACTCACCTGTTTGCGGGATAGGCGCACCGGCTGACTGCCCTGTATGACAATATCATTCACATCAATGTCCAGCTTGGCCTCCCAGCCCGCCTTGATGGCTTCGCCGCCATTCTGCTCCGTGTGCTCGAGAAACTCGTTTAAAAAGCTCACACACTGCGTCGCGTCAAAGTACATAAAGCACAAGTTGACCTTGTGACAGGAGATGCGGCCCCGATCGTCCAGCACAAGTAAAATCTTGTGCCGCATTAGCTGCTTATTCACACGCGCCAGACACTTCTCCAGGCCGCGCGACAGCCGCAGCTTCATCCACATACACAGAAATATGGCCGCCGCATTCAGGAACAGCCAGCCGACGCCCATGGCAAAGAGTGCCACGCCCTGCAGCCCTGAGAAGAGCAGCGCCAGCAGCACAGTGAACGCAAACAGTATCCAGCAGACGAGAATGCGCTTATAGCAAATGTTGTACACTGTGAAGCGATAATCGTTGACCAGCGTCTCCATTGCATTCACATAGTCCTCCACAGTGAGCTGCACAGGGAGGAGCAGAGGAGGGAGTTCGAGGTTAGGGGGGTGCTTAGACCAAAGCCAGCAACAGTTGATTGATTGACTGGCCACTTACCGTCAAGCCCTGTGCCATCAGCTCCTCGGGCACCAGCTCCGGACGAAATATGGCCGGGGTTATCCAAGGCCATTTCGTGTTGGCCGGCAGAAGTGTGACAATCACATCTCCATTAGCTGTGGGTGGAACAGCAAAAGAGTGGAGAGAGTTACAAGGTGTCACCACATCCTCTAGACAATTCAATTCAATTTTGACATTTGGAAATAATAACAACAACATCAGAGTTGGCAGATAGGGAATGTCTTTATATATACTGCAGAAATGTTTTGAATTTAAAAAATTTAACATTTCCGATATATGTTATAAGTATTGTTACCAGTTAAGGACACAGTTAAAAACAATCAACCTATTCATTTTGGGAAGCATTTTTGTGGTTCAATAGATTAACTTTTATATTAAATAATGGTCATAAAAATAAACTGTTCTACTTTTCATATCATTGTCGAAGGTTTAATACCCTTGGAATAATGTTGCTTAGAAGGGTTTTTTAACTAAGATTTTGTTCAAGGCCGATTCCTTTAGAAGTCATTTAATATGGGTTTTGCAGGCAGAATTTTCCATACAAAGTTAACATTTCAAACGATTCTATTTGCAGGGCTATATATACTATAAAAGTGGCCGAAAATATAAGAGTATGCTCATATAGTAAAGAGCATTATGAAACTGGTTAATGCTAAGTTTAGTCAGGATTTCTTGACAACGGAAAACTTTTAATTTATACAAATGAGCAGTTCTCCGATCCAGCCAAAGCCGACTCATATGTACAGAAAGACGGATCTATGCAATATTGAATGTATATTCTATCTACGTCTAAGAGACTAGCTTGCATAAGAACAGAGAGGCTGTCGACTGTTGAGACATTATTGGATCGGAAACTTTCTTTTGTATGCATTAGACATTTCGTGACAAAATTGTAATATCCAACAAAGGTTTAAAGAAAACGGTTTGACTGTAGTTTAAGTTTTGAGGCCTACTTACCGAAACCCTCACGGATGCGGCCCGTTGACAATTCAATTGTGCGCATCCCGGAGGCCTGATCCACTGGAATGGAGACGCTTTTGCCGGTGGCATTCCCGCTGGTATTGTTGTTGTTGTTGTTGCTGATGCCACTGCCATTTGGATGAGTAGCGGTCGCTGCAGCAGCTGTCGAGGACGAGGCCGACGTTGTTGCGGCCGAGGCGGCGGCCGAGGCTGCAGTTGCTTTTTGGTTTATTAGCTGCTGTGGGTGGCGGGGGGGAGTGCTGCCACTGCCGGATGCATTCAGATTAACGTGGGTGCTCTCAGTTGTCAAAACAGCCGGCGTCACATCCGGCAGCGACGCGGCAGCTGTTGTGGAGGAAACTGCAGTACGCTGTAAAATATAACAACAATGGGTTAACGTTCTTGGCCTTAAGACAAAGCAGAAGTGGTAAAAAGTAAAACAAAGAGGCGCAAAGAATTATGCAAATGTGCGCTAGAAAATCAATTTTATTGATTTACCCTTAACAATGCAGCGGGATTTATAAAAAAAAAATATGATTGAGCAACAGCCGACGCTTGCCACATCAGGTGCTGCAAAAGCGAAAACAATTTGTCATTTTGCACGTACGCAGCTCAGCCCCCTAAAGCGGATATGGGGAGCTACGTACTGCGCTTTAAAAGGTGCTGGAACTCGTTGAAATGCACCAAAAAAAAACCAAAAAAAAACAAGTTAAAATAGTCGCGCAACAGTCGAGGTTTTCTATAATTGATCTATAGCGTGCTATACATTTTTTATTGCTTGCCAGTTTTCGCTCTCTCTCTCTTTCTGTCTCTCTGAGCAGTTAGGCCAAAGTGCTGCCTTAATTATCTACTGCCAAGGTCATCAATGCAATAATATACTCTATTCCTGGAGGTCAAGGAATGTTATATGTGTCTTCTTGCAAATTAAAAATGTAGTTCACAATCTCTTAAGTTTGTTTTGCCTAAACAGAAGCCGGCCACATTTTAAATATTTGTTTTCTGCTTGTAAATTTAAGCACAAGAGAATGCTATTGAGGATATCCGACTGTGAAATGCCCTGTAAAATTAATGAATAGCTATGAAGGAAAGAGTATAATAGCTATTATATTTGAACATGTTTTATCTATTGAAAACTGTTAGCTAGTCAATAACTAAATTGCTTTAGGTCTATGGTCACTAAGCGCGATCATGTTTATGGCTTAGGTTCTATATAAAATAAACAATATATAAATTATATTAAAAGAAAACTGTATATAGTAAGCATTAACATGAGCTTACATTTTAACATTTATTTAGTTGACAGTTACCACATGCAGTGTTGTAAATCAATAACAATATTCTAGTATTAGGCATTTTTTAGTAGAGTCAAATTGGTAACTCTCAAATATTGCCTTAAGATGTTCCATGATGTTCTTTTCTTTGTTTTTAAGAAATATACTACTTCGTATATATTCGGTATAAATATCGCAATCATGTTTAACCCTTTTATTGCATCGCAAACCACGTTGAACCATAACACGCAAAATAATGCATATAGCCTTTAGCTTTTAGATGGGAACTAATTGGTTGTACAAGCAAGTGCTCGTAGATATATACAACGCATCAAAGTAGATAAGCACAGAAATACTTAGAATATAACAGTTTATTGCCAATTTCAAAATGCACTGCATATAAGCAACTTGAAAGCAATATATCTTCGCATCAACTCAAAAAATGGAGATTATAATCTAATCATAATCCTTTGTCTTTAAATGTGTATCTATTTAACTGCTTCAAAAACGCACCAAGTTTTTTCCGTATTTATGTCAATGTCAGTGTTGACAGCTTGTGTGTTGGGATTGTTTGTAATTTGACCTCGCCGAAAGCCCGGAGATATATTGCGAAATGAGCAAAAATAAGCAACTAATAAATATTGACTTTATTATAGTCATAATAAAAATAAGGCTGGAGAAATATTTAAACAAATGCCGCTCGCACCGTAGGTATTCTGGGCATATTATTTTTATCTCACTCTCCGCTGATATGACATAAAAAACAGAACAGCAACTGAACTGATGAAAGCCAATAAGCAAAGGTATTCGTGATACTTTTCTGTATGTGCAACAAATAGACATTCTTATACACCTGCTGACAGTCACACTTATATGACTGAATTGTTTATATATTTGCATATTATTTTATTTATTAATCGTGGACAGGTGAAGAGAAACTCTTTAGAAAACAGCTCTAAAATGGCATTGCATATCAATACAAACAAAAAACTCTATATATATAATAAAATGTATACTGCGATCAAACAATATTTATTTATTTTGGGATCAGACGTTTAATAATAATTTGCAAAGCAAATTGATTCAAACGGCGATAACTTGAACTCAATTTCAAAGCTGCAATTTTCTATTTTATCGTTTCTTCTTTTATTTTACTAATCGCATTTCAATATGGAAGTGTCATTCCAGCATAGACATATTGTATATCCCATTTAACCAAAGATTGTTTTGCGAATTAACTTTTTAGAGCTGTGGAATAATTTACTGATACAATTAACATACTGCGATGTGCCGGTGCATGTTTAAGAGTCTACTAAATATAAAATTATACACTGCAATTTGATTTATACAATCACTACAACAAGAAATGTTTAGGTGTGCGAAAATGTAGTCGATATTTCTCTACAATTTCTATATAAAATGTTTAGAATATGCAAATAAATATTTTACACAGTTTTGCTTCTTGATATAACAATAATAATAACAATATTCTCCCATAGACGTTCGGAAAAAACAACTCATTTTGTGTATGTACACAACAATTGAAATTTATAACAGTGCCTTTCTAAAGTATTCGCATTTAAAATTTCTGACTGTACAGCCTAATGCACCCAAAAATTTCACGTTTCCATTCATGCATGCACTTGAACGAATCGAACAATCCCTTTCCACAAGCCTGGTACAGAGAATGACGTGTCGCTTGGCGATGAGCAATCAACGCTGCCTGCCAAATAGGCCTTGCTGCCACTGTTGCAGGCAGCAGACAGTCCCTAACCTTTCCTCATTTGTCATGCGTGCAACGTGACACAAAAGAATAATCAGAAGGGAGGGTAAAGAAGCAGAGGCAAAGTACCGCTGCTAACAACTCCATTAGGCAACGAAAAGGCGGAGAAACGTAAAGAAACGATAACGCAGGGCATGGGGTGCAGAGAGCGGAGTGCGGACAAGGAGAGAGGTAACGCATACTGTGCGATGCATTGGAATGCGTTGCGTTGGGTCAGCCACGACATGTGAGAGATACCGCCAAAGAGAGCGTAACTACTTGAAACGAGGCAAAAAGAGAGCGAGATAGGCAGAGAGCGACTAACCTGCACAGGTGATGGAGCTGCTGCTGCTGAAGCCTGCTCGTTGGGACTGCGCGAGCGCGCGCGTCTCTTGTTGTTGCTGCTGACCACAGATGGCGGCGGCGGCGGCAGCGCCAACTTGTTTTGTTGTTGTTGTTTCTGCTGCTGCTGCTGTGTGGCATTGCCGTCGCCAGTTTTACTGTTACTGTTATTATTTTTCTCACTGCTGTCCGTCTCGTCGTCGAATTTAACCCAATTTTCGGGCGTCAGCTGTACGTCATCGGCTGCAGCCAAATCGCTGCTGCTCCCATCAAGCGGCACATCTTGCAGCGGATGATCTGGTGTCGCAGTCGCAGTCACAGTCGACGTCTGCGCCTGCGCCTGCGCTTTGGCCTCGTGCTCCATTAGGTTTTTATATTATTTTAAGGAATGTGCGAATGCGCGAGGCTGACGCGTGTCTGAAATTGTTGTAATTGAACGTGTTTTGGCTCGCAGAGCGAATACGTTTTGTTTTTGCGTTTTGTTAGTTCGCTTTTGCCGCTTACATAACCTCAATAACAATTCACACTTGAGTTGTTGCCGCACTGCTGCCGCTACCGCTGCCGCTGCTGCTGCTGTTGTTGTTGTTGCTGCTGTTGTTGCTTGTGTATTTTTAACTGATTTTTATTGTTGGCGCAGCGCACAACGCGTCGTTTACGTGTTGGCTGCTCACGCGTTCTCGTCACACTGCCGTGGCACACCCAAAAACAAAAAGCGCAGCTTAGCTTGGCTCAAAGGCGCGCTCCGCTCAGCTTACGCTCAGCTAAAGCCCTTTTACCGTTTTGCTGTGTTTCGTTCTCGCACGTTTCAAGTGCTGATGCTGCCGGGGCCGCCTTTAGTATTGACTGCAAACGTTCAACTGAGCAAGCGACGGCTATAGCTTTTCGTTGCGCTCACCTGTTGGCAGCAGCAGCGAGCAGAGCTTTGTCTTTACCTACTCTCTCACTCACCCGCTCTCTCTCTCTCTCTCTCTATCGCTCAGTTCTCCCGCAGCTCATTCATTAATGTTTTTGTTTTCCGTTTCTGTTGTTGCTTTTTTCTCTCACATGACAAGTTTTTGCTTTTTAAGTTAGTAATTTTATTTCGTCTCGTCTTTTCGTATTCCCAAACAAGTTGCGCCCGCTCTCCACTTCAATCTTTGTGTCTCTGATTCACAATTTGTAGCTAGTTGCGTCGCTGCCCCGCCTCCTCCTCCTCCTCCACCTTCCACTGTGCACGCTTAATAATCATTTTTATCTTTTTATTCATTTGTTTGCTCACTTCAAAGATCTCTGGAGTAGAAAATTTCGCAAAGTGAGCAGCTTGTTTAACGTGAGTATTTGTACACATGTTTCCAAGTGTGTGCAACTGCGTGTGTGTGTGTGTGTGTGTTTGTCTCACGATTAGCTTCGCCAGGCTGCCTCAATTTTAATTTAAACAACTAAAACTTAGAATGCTCTAGTCGCAAGTGTCCGACTAGAAGATACTCTGTGTTTAAGTCTCTGTGACTTGTTTGGATATGGATATTGAAAATATGATGTGCTTGTGATATTGGGGAATATATATATATATAAAATTTTTCTGGCTTGTCGGGATTCTAGATCCGCCCAGCTCGTTGTACTAAGATATGGCATCATTCTGCCTATTACAGGCGCAACAAATATTGTACACCCCTTTTAACTGTTCTTCTAATGGGTACAAAATAAACAAAGACTGTCGCATTGCTTATCAGCACGGAGTAGTCAGGGGTGGGGGAATATTTGTGTTCATCGTACCTCAACTGCCTATCGGTTATCGGGCTTTTTACAAACGAATGGGATTTCAAATGTTTACAACACAAGCAAGTGCAGCAAGCAGCCAATACAAATACTCATGTGCTTAAGTATGTAAATACTCATAAGAATACTTAAATATACATATATACCACATACATAAATAAACATTATAGGTACTCATGCTTAGCAATGCGCTCAACTCTTGAAAGATTAATTTGCTAATGCCTTTGCAAATAAATAGATAGAATCGTGTAAATAAATAGTAACTCGTTTATTTGCAACTCAATTTGCTGCAAGCTCTTGTTAATTGCTTATTTGTTTATTAACAAATTAAAAAACTTCCACAGTATTTGTTATTTTAAACTCTTCTTAGAACATTCTGAGCCAGGCTTTGCTGACTCTTGTAAATTTATTTAAATCGAAATTTAAATTCCACTACTCTACTACTCTCATGTATGGAAATTTTTATTTAAAATTTTATAATTTTAAAGACTGCTTACAATAAGTTAATCACATTTGCTGACTTGAATTTCATTGATATGCAGCTTGCAAAGTTAATTATGGAATCGGTAAGATTTTTCGCCACACAGCAAAAATGTCCGATATTTATTTACTTGATCTGGTATAAAAAAGTTGTTTAAAAATCTTCTGAAGGAAAGAAGCTAAATATAAACAAGACATGCCTATTACCCTTATTGCGACTGTCAAATAAATACAATATTCAAATAATTTATTTAAAAACAATAATGTAATGAAGTTGTGATCTTTTGAATTGGTAGTATCTTGATTAAACAGTCGAAGTAGTTTAATTCCATTGTAACTTAAACTCGAAACGGAACTTTACTCAAAGTATTCTCATTTTTCTTCTTTTTTTTTTTTACTTGCAAAAACTGCAATTTAAAATCAATTTGACGTTTGCCGCCCAGTTAGGAGGCAGTCTCTAGTTTTGCATGTCCTTTCGATAAGCAGGCCAACATTTAATAACAAATTTATGGCGCTACGGTGCATAGTTTCGGCCGGGCCAACAACAGTTTTGGCATGTGGCCGCCCGAGTAAAATGTTAAATGCCTGGGACGACATTATAGTGGCAATTGTGCGGCTGGGCAGCCACAGAAAACTTTTGCCAGCAATAAATTATGCCGCAAAATTATTATATAAGCGGCGAGTGTCGAACGGCTGCAAAAGGAATTGGCCAAGTGCCAAAGCGAAGCGTCCGAGCTGCCGGCCAAGCATTGGCCAAAAGTTGTTAAGCAAATTATGGCCTGGCCGACAAAAATATATCTGAAACTCTTACGACTTGGCCTAAACTGCATTTGCAGCCAGACCCAAGCAGCAGCAGCAGCAGCAATGCAGTTGGCCAAAATTATCAGTGGCCATTGAGTTGCTGAAATGTGGAACTTGCTGGGACTGTTAATGGCAACAAAAGTGTGCAAACTCTTTTTAAAAGTTTTTCTTTCATCAACAGTAAAATGTTGAATAACATGCTTAAAAGTTTTCTAAAAATATTTTAGCTGAAATTTCCTAAAATTCCAATATCCCATATAGTATAAAGAATTTCAGTTCCAATCCCGCGGCCAAGATTCATTTCTCTGATTGCACAAAATCTTTCTGAAATGAATATTAGAATCTATAATAACTTTTAAAAATTTTGATTCTATTTTCTTATTATTGACATGATTTGTTCTGGAAGTCGTTTTTTTTTAACTGACTCACAGTAATTTATGTTATTTATATAAATAATCAAGTCGCTTCATATTTCTTTCTAAATTTAACTTATATTTTCTACACCACAATTTTTAAGATTGCATTCAAATATAAAATATAAAAAAATCCAATTTTTTTTATGTTTTTTATACTACTCTTAAATATTATATCCAGCTTAAATACCCATCTTTTTTAATCGTCTATAGGCAAATGTATAAATAATAATTTTAAATTTACCGTTTAGCTTCTTGGGCATTTAATAAGTCTTTTAGCCTTGTAAATAACCCTTCAGAGTATAACCCTCCAGTTTTTTGTGGCAGCTCATAAATTAAGAGAAGTAACTACGATTGTCTCCTGTGATCCACGGTTTGCGGTTGGCCACCAAAACCTTTGTAAATTTGGCCAGCTTAATAAACTTGCTAAGCCATAAATCGCTCAATATGCAAAAATCCATTGTTCGTGGCTACTTTTCAACTTGGCTAAGGCTTTGACAAGCCACAAAAATTGCACTCTCAGCCACAAGCAGTCAACCAAGAGTCTAATTAGGCCAAATTAATTGCCTGCGCTTTTGACACTTTCAAAGACTGTTGCCCCGCCACCGCCCCCGTCTCCGCACTCGCCACCCCAATGTCAACAAAACAACCATGCCAAGTACAACACTCAAAAGTCTATTTGCTGGCATCCCCTCCCCTCCAGCTCCAGCAAGAGTAATGTTCGCAATTTGTTGGCCGCCATCGTCGTCGTCTTATTAACCCGCAACAGGAATCGGAGACACGCCGCAGCCGACTTGGCAAAAAGTTGCGGCAACTTTTTGGCCGACTCGAGAATGTCCAACGGGCATATAAATTAGCCAAGCTGGAAGCCAAGACACTAGCTACCAGCTGCTCCCTTACACCATCTCCCCCATCCCTCTACACCCCCTGCCCCGTGTGTTCTTCTGTCTGTCTCGTCCAAGTGCCAAAGTTTTGGCATCAAAAAATGTTTTCAAATTAAGCTAATTTATATTATATAAACACACTAAAGACGCTTAATGAGCGGCCCTTTGAGGCTGTGGGCGTGGCCACATAAGTTGTAAGCTACACATATACCCTGTAATTTATACGAAATGGGTGCCGTGAGAGTTGCAATAGTTTATATCACAATCAATAAACATGTATTAGCTGGTTGGTAAGCTAATCGGGATTATAATTTGGATAAGTTGATAAATTATGAAATCGAAAATCTTTGGAACTATCATAATTATTCTAAATATTTTAGACTTGATGCTGAGTAATTTTATAACTATAATAACATAGCTTTGGCTAATTCGAACCAGTTCGATAATAAGCGAAGTTATCGATAGGCGAATAAAAAAAAGTATATTGTTAATATAATAAATAAAAATAACTTTAATTTAGCGTTAGGTCAAGTTTAGTGAAAACATCTTCTGTAATACAAATTAGTCTATAGACAACACGAACTTAACATCTGAACGATATTTCGGGCTGTTAAAGATTCCACATGTATGTGTAAAGTTATGATTTTCGCTCTCCCATAAGAAATTTTGGTACTACTTTTAATGCTGTACCCCTTTGATTTGTCTAGAAGATGCCAAGAGCTGAATGTAAGTCCACCTTTAAGCCCTTTGAAAACGGCCAAAGTTGTGCAACAACAACAACAGCAACAACAACGACGACAACAACTTGTTGTTGCTTTTTTTGTTTTGCTTCACAGCTCGCTGGCGAAATTAACGTGACTTGCATGTTGCCCCAAAAGTATGCAACGCGGCTCTAAAGTGTCGCCATCAGCAACCAACCCGCCACCATCCCGCGTGCTTACGCCACGCACCCTTTATCCACGTGCTGTGAACAACTTTTTCTGCCTTTGGTCCAAAAAAAAAAAGGCAACAACTACACCAACAACAACAACAACAACAAGAAAAGTGCAACTGTGGAAACGTGTCACAAACTTTATGCGCCCGCCACGCGTCACGCACGCGATTTTCGCTTAGTTGTTTGTCACTTTGCTCGCGGAGGGGTCCAGAAGGGGGCGGCAAACAGAGCATAGGGATATATGCCAGAGCACTCCTGGCACGGTGTCGCGGGCACCGGTTGTTGTCGCTGCCCGGGCAAGAAAAATGGCTCTGCAAATTAAGTGAGTTGGCATTGCCAGCAGCATGGCATAAATTAAGGCAACGTTAGCTCAGAGCCGCGATTTCGAGAGCTACGAATATATAAAACAGCTGATGGCAACTGGCAACTTGAGGGAGATTTTTGGGAATGCAAAAGTGCAGAATGCAAGTACAATACAGTTTTCATTAATCGAACAATTAGCTAAACACAAGATCCTGAAATAAACAAGGCAACAACAAAAATGCAAATTTTGTTGTTGTTGTTGCCTAAAATAATAACCTATATACCCCAATCAAATGAGAGTCTGTGCGACGGTTGTGAAAATATAATGATTATTAACTATGAAAATCTGATTTTTGTTTAAATTGATAAGTATATGAAGTGAACAAATACATCTGAAATGCTCCTTATATTAAAGATTGGATGTGAGAATAAATAAATATATAAGTAATCAGAATAGCAGCAACTTCATAGACCAATTAGGCCCAAAGTGGCTGATGTTTCTCCTTATTCAAATTTTTATTAGGAAGTTAAAATTGCAATAAAGACCCAGAAGCTATGAGGGCAGAGTATAAAAACAATCTTTAAAATAAAAATAAAATTGATCAAGGTAAGCCCAGTTAAATTCTAATTGATTAAATCTGATGTGTTTATCTTATCATGAGAGGGAAAACATTAAAAGAAATTTAAATCAATTAAAAATATGTTTACACAGAAAATCCAATTTGAAATTAAGCTTGAAAATTTATTTAAATTTCAGCTTTAAATCTGTATGTATCATGTAGAAGACAGATTATGTTTTCGGACACAAATTAATCAATGTGCAATTAATTGGAATTTAATGGGATCCTTAAAGTATTTATATTTAGGGACAATGCAATGCTGAAATGCTGCACAAAAGCGAATAGTCTGAGCTTAATACAAATCGTTTGTTCAGCCATTCAATTCATTTGCAGATGATCTGCAGAGACTGTCGCCACAGTCGGAGCTGCCACTTGGAAACCACTCGAGTTTATAATAATTTACAACATGTTGCAGCAGTAACCGCACAAACACGCACACAACACACAGCACACAGCACATGATGAGGCAGTCAACAATGAAACTGACACGAGCGTGTGTGTGTGTGTGTGTGTGTGTGTGTGAGAGAGTGTCATGTGGCAAGTGCTCGGCTGTGGCTGCTGTGACTGTTGTTGCCACATGTCAGCTCTCATAAAACATAAAATCACTTTGGTCTGCAGGTGCAGCTGCTCGAGAACTTCAGGTTACGCATGTTGCCACCTGAATGTGGCAAAGATGAAGTGTGCGTGTGTGTGTGTGTGAGTGAGTGTTTGTGAGTGTGGCATTGTCTTCAAGAAATATCAAGCAGCACTTTAGCCTGACCATTCGTAGCCTAAACTAACGATACCCCTGCCCTGCATCTGCAACAACTTGTAGGCAGACCGCAAAATATTTTGTTTTTGACATGGATGACAAATATTTCGAGTATCTTTTGCCTGAGAGTTAATTGAAATTCGCTTTTGTATCAAGAGATAAATGGATTATGAGTGTGTAGTTACGAAACTTTTCAATAAATACTTTTACACTCAAATATTTGAAATGTACTTCAAATCAATGCAGCCAGCATTCCCAACTTAAATCTTACAATGACTTTTGGCCTTTGATTAGGGATCACAATGAAATGCAGTTGGGATAAATTCTTAAGCATGTTGTAATAAGCTGAAGTTGACATATGCACTCCAATATTGTTTGCATAATCTTGCCCTATTCAGCCCTCACAGCCCATTTATTAGGCTTGCTTGAATACAACTGTATATAATTATATGTGCTGAACTAATAACAATTAAACTGTTGCAAATCAATTTTGATGCAAATTGCGGTGTTTTCTTTTTCAGAATCGTTTTTCCAATTTGTTCGTTTGCGTCTTCTTGAAAAGCAAAGCGGATAGTAAGTAAAATTCCAAAAGTTATAATTATATAAATTATCTTAAATATATATTCACTTGCCCCTATTGTGGATTGGCTGATTGTTGGCTCTATGATTCTAGTATAGAAAAAACAAATTTATTGTAGGCAATTAATTACACAATCATAATTTAGTAAAATCCGATATACAGAAAAAAGATGTATAAAATTTGGTAAGTGCGCATAAGAAGGTAATTCTTACTCTAATATGCATTTTAATGTTTCTTTTTTCTTTTCCGAGAAATTACTTGAGTTTATCTTTTTGGTAGTTTCTGCCTTCATTCGCGCTTAAAGAGATCACAATGCAACTCCTCGGCTGTCATTTGTTTCTCCATATATATCTATTCACGACAATGTGCCTACTTTTAACTACCGCAAGACTTGGTAAGTTTAAAGAACAAGAATATTACAAAATAATTGTATTACAATTATCATAAAATTATTATTTTTTGCTTAAGCCTGCGCTTCTGCCGGGTATTGTGTGAAAAAGGATGGATTTTGTAGCGGTACGAAGTTTCATTCAGCCGACTGCAGAGGCACGCAATTGGTCTGTTGCCAACGAAAATCGAATAGTTCTGTGCCGGAATAAATATCTAAACTTATTTAAAGCCCATCAATGCGTTAGCTTAAAAGTAACCAGCAATCATCTAATATAAAACATTAATGTAGCATTGTTTATGTCATTGGTTAAGCTATATTATAGCTGATGCTTATCAATTTGCATAGTTAAAAGCAAATATGCATTATTTTAATCCAAGTTCGTCATTTATTTCTTTACGATGATGTTCCAAGTTTCCAGTGTGAGCAGTAAAATTCATATCAATTGCTCAAAATGATTTACATTTAAGTTTTCTTAAATGTAAATTAACTTTAGATTTCTATATTGGATATGAGCTTAGAAAACCCGAGTGTCCATTCGGGTCATGGGGTCAACCTCCATTAATCCATTACATGAGGAACCTTTCGACCACAAATAAGTGCTGTTATAATTGGGATACATCAACATATGCTTATAAACATATGTGTGTCTATAATTACTATATATATTTCATTTAATTTTACGGCTATCCAAAGCGCAAATATATCACAGGTTTATTTTAACTTTTGGAGTTATTTTAAGATATTTACTTAATTTATAAGCTAACTGTGCGTAACTTCACTTTTAGCTTTAATTTTATTTTAATCATTATTATCAACAATTGTTAATGGTATTCAATTTATTTTGATTATAATTATAATTAAATCATAATTATTTATATCATTATAATCGTTATCGCTGTTATCGCACTAGATTCATTTGAAACTTCTAATTAAATAAAGGTATCGCCATAAAATCTCAGAATTTGCATTAAAAATCTCGCAGAAAATTCCTGAAAGCCATCAAGCCAAGCCGTGACAGACGAAAAACAAGTGATCAGCATAACGGCGACCCGCGACGAGGCAGCCAAGTGTAAGGGCGAGATGCAAGGACCGAGTGCCAGACAATGCACCATCAGACACGCAAGCCCGAGCTTAGCTCAGTTTGGGGCAGCTCATTACCTAGCCGCTTCAGTGTGGCCCAGGCCCCAAATGTTGCAGCAGCCACTTCAGTGTAAATCATTACAATAATTCAAATAAAGCGCCGCCAGGACGCGATGAAGGACGAAGATACCGAGTGGCAGCGTGAGCAAAGTAAACGGTGAAAATTTGCTCAGCCAGACACGGTATAAAATGGGATGGCAGGGATAGAGTCAGGCAAGACAGCAGACAGCAGACAGCTGGAACGGCGCCCACTTGAGACTGAGAGAAGGAACGAGCGCCAAAAGCATTTAAGCAGAAAATGTTGCAAGAAAAAGGAACAGCGAAAAGAACATGCCATGATTTAGGATTGCTTAAACGTTTATGCAGTTTGCACATTTAATGTCTTGGACTTGCAACAAAACTCTTGCACGCCTTTAAGAGGCGGGCAAAAATATTTATATTCTCAATATTTCGACTGTCTGCTATCAAAAGATCTAATCTTGCAGACTGTTTGGAAGATTGCATCTGAAAAAGTTGCAGCCAAAAAGCTGCGTTACATTATGTTCAGTTTCAGCTGTTTTTCATTTCGCAACTTTTTCGTTTGCCGCAGAACAAATCAGCTGCGTGCTGGTCAAATATGTAAAAAAGCATCAACTTGCTGCACAAATAAAATCATATTTAAAACTTTCTGGCCATAACAAAAAGGCAGCGGCAAGAAGTAGCATCAGCAGCAGCAGCAGCAGCAACAGAAACTAGCTGCTAGCTGCATTTTCCAAACAAAAACTTTCGTGTTAAAAAACAGAAAAGTGTGCTCGGCAACAAGCGAAACAAGCCAAATGAAATGCCCAACAAACTGAACTTTTAAATTGGTAATTGTAAATATTTATCAACATTTATAAACTACAACCGCAAACTACAAGTAAGATGAGATTTTTTTAAGTTTAGAAAGTTTTTTTTTAGCTTTTTACTGTGTGAAATATTTGACAGCACTTTAAGTGTGGCACAACACATATTAATAAGGCACGCAATTAGGCACAGAACATCATAAATAAATGTAATTAGTAAGTATGCATATATGATGCAAGGATCCCCATATAGTATTCTCAGGTTTTTACAGTTTACAAATAATGCCAGAAGGCATAGTAAAAATATTTTAAAAAAAACTGCATAAATTAGAGCAAACATCGCGAAAATGTTTAACATATGTAATTTGACAGTCAGTACAACAAGAATATAAAATTAAAATAAGAAAAATGAGTGCGGCTCACATTAATGCAATTTAACAGGGCGTATGCATAATATTTAGCTAAGCCAGAGCCAAACCGGGCAGCGGCCCAGTGCAGAACTTAATTAAAAATGTGTGCGCATAATTATAACTATATTTAGCAAGCTGCATTTTTACTCATCCACACACACACACACATACAGACACGAGCGCGCGCTCGTATGCATATGTGCATTAATTTCGTATGCAGCTGCATACAAAGGCACCGCGCAAAAAAGTATGCTACAGTTTTTGTAAGCGGCATTTTGGTGCCGCCGCTGATGATCCAGCGCCAGGTTTTGTCAACACTGCGTCCTCCTCGTTGCTTTGGCCTGATGAGCGGCAGCAGTTACCGTAAATTATTTTATTTATACCGTTAGTCAGCGGCGTGCAGGAAGGCGGGCCGCATCAGCAACGCCAACAGCCAGCCGCATCCCCCGAGCTGTCTATGTGCTTGACTTAATAAAATAAATTTAGAAGCTGCCTGTCTGCCACATTCCCCTTGGCCGCCCGCTCACATCACGCCTCAGTTGGGCGCGCTGGCAAAATGGCGAAATGTGCATATTGTGTGTGTGTGAGTGAGTGTGTGTGTGTGTGTGTGTGTGCGAGCTTGTCGTTTATTATTTATGCATGCTGTGCAACATTTTCGCCCAGCAGCTGCACAACAAACGCGAAATCGTTGCACGGCTGCTTGCCACAGAGATTTTTTCTGTTGTTGTTGTTGTTCAGCGCACATTTGCACAGTGGTAGGAAATTTGCGATTGCGTGCAAAACATAAACCAAATATTTTTTTATATATTTCTACAACAAATATTTCAATTAAAGTTTAATAATACTTTTTCTCCAGTCTAATTTCAGTACAGTTTTGTTAGAAATAACAGTTTAGCAAAGTCAATTTAGGCCTTTCCTCAAGAAAATAGAAACTTTTTTTATTTAAAATCTAATTTTTTATAGTCTCATATGAGCTTAAGTAGGCAATTTTTATATATTACGTGTAGCTTATCAAAAGCGATATTTTATCGCATTTTCAATGGGAAGAGCAAAGCAATTTTTAGGCATATAACAAGGAGTGTTTTTTTGGGTGAAAAGTTTTATTTACACGTTTAAAATAGTTAGCTAACCAAAGCTGCTATTTACTGTTTTTATATTTATGCACAGGACGTTAAAAAAGTGATACCAATTTTTTTCATTTTGTAATGTTCAATTAATGCCCAATTAAATCTCTTTTATTGTATCGAAATACGAAGACCCTGATAATGGAGATTACCCTTTAAAATACTTGAAGGGTAGATATAATTTACAATTGCAAAAAAATACCCTTCTTTGGCAATTTATCAGTTTGTCAACAATTTTATAGCTGCATTTAAAATATATTGCAGGCATTTAACCACAGAGAAAACCATAAAAAACTAAATTCACGCATAACGAAATAATTGAATTTTCAACTAATTTGCAAACTGCAAACAGACCGATGCGAATTCCAAAAATTGCCAAGCATTTTTGTATTTTTAAATTTTATTTTGGCGGCCTCTGATTCGTTATGTTTGTGTTTGTTATTGTTCTGGGTTTGTTGTCATTTCGCATATCGAAATGTTTCGCATTGTTATTCTGATTTTCATTACCTATATAAAATGCACACTGAAGGCAAGAGTGTAGACAACAAAAGGCGTATGCCTGCAAATTTTATGAAATATTTTTTGCAATCGGTATATGTAAAAAAGATGAATTACCCTTGTAAGCGTTTAAGACATGTGAGAAAATAAGCAAGGCTCCTAATCGCCAAGTTCTGTGGAGATACTTTCGTAAATTAAAAATATTCCATCTAAAAACTTGACCGAAATTATATGTGAGGAGCATGGCAGAACTTATAAAGCCTTGGCTTGGTCAAAGATAAAAACTTAAAACGTATAAGAACCCAATTTTCCGCCAGATAGATGGATGTTGGAACAATGAGTTTGTTGAAATAATGAGTGAAATTTGGTCTCACAACACTGTGTTGTAAATTATAATTTAACAACACTGAAATACACACAAACACTTATTCATACAAAAGTTACAGTGACCAAGTAGGTTTTAGTTATTTTGACACGTTCAGTCTCACTCTCAATAATTAAAATAATAAATATTTAAACGAACATATAAATAAAACCAAGTGTTATTATTTAATTGTGGGCGATTCTCAACGATAGTTTTGACAATTTATGCAGATCATTTTATACTCTCTAAAAAAATAGAATACAGGTATAAGAATTTAATAAAATTATATGTGGGTTAACAAAATGTTTTGGTTAAAAAAGTTGCCGTAAATCGCATGTTAAACGAGGCGTATGCGCAATATTTTAAGTGCGCTTAACTCGTGCTCATTTTAAAGCCAGCAAAATTTTAAATATTTGAAAAACGTGCGATGCCAATGAATATTAATTTGTTTAATTAAAACTTAATTAATGGCATTAAGTTATTATATACAAAAAAATAAATAAATATAGTTCAAAAGTATTTTATATTGCAGACTAACAATTTTTTTTAAGCAGGCAGCTTTAAAATAAATAGTGTGAAAGAGCAAGCAATGAAATATTTGCTAGTCAAATATTTAAAATAAATATAGCTTGAAGAAGTAATATAGGAAGCTCAAAACTCGCTTTTCTACATGCAATTACATAGCATAAACATATAAGCATATTATCTATGTATATATTAACTAAAGCTTGAGTTTTAATCAACTATTATTAATTACCAAAATTAATTATGTCATGTTAATGCAATGCTAGATCCTCTGATTTGAACCGGCATCCTTCACATTTTTAAAGGAATTTATTAATTATTACTTTGATGGGATGTACGAACTTTTTTTATTAGTAAGTAGATTCGAGCATGATTAATGAATGTAAAAATGCCTACAATTCAATGACTCGTACGCCAATTAAGCGGATTTGATTGTATCTTTAAGCAGAACTTAATACGGGGCTATTTATGAACATAAGAGTTTTCCCATTGAAAGATACGTAATGACATTTTGTAGCGACAACAATAGAACGACAATGCAGCAAACACAACAATAAGGCAAACAACAGGAGCAGGGACATAACGATAAAGTACCACAGAAAGGCAAAATAAATATGTTGGCAATTCTTTAGCAGTTCCCCTTCCTGACTGTG